CGTTTGGCGTTGCTCCTACGACTCGTCCTTGGTCAACATGTGCTCCTGATCTCCGGGAAAGTGATCCCGAAAACCTAAACCCTAAACCCTAAACCGCCTCCCCTGTCCTCATCGTCATCCCCGTCCTAAGGTAGTCACGCCAGGAGGGCACAGGGGCCCCTGCATTTCCCTAACCCTGATCGGCCTCCGGAGCAGTTTCCTTCCCACCTTTCGGCAAATTGGAATGGAAGATGCCCCGTGCTCCCGTTCTCATGTGCCGAGTTCGCTTTCCCTTTTGCCTTGCGAGCCGTGCGCTCCACTCGGCGAGGTCCACATGAGTCCGAATTGCAGTTCGCAAAATCCAGTGCCTCACCAAAGGTCGGGTTTTACAATATTTCTGCCTTGGCACCTCATTGTTCCTTTAACTTTGTGGGGTGGGGTGGGGTGGGTGGGGGTCAACGGAGCCTTTTTGAGATTTGACCCTCCAGTCCCCCGCTGAAGAATCGGGGCACTGCGAGGCCAGTTCACGATGTGCTTCTTCCCGAAGTCGCATGAACGATGGGGCACTTCGTGTTCCAGGTGGTGGCATGAACTGGGAACTTTGCTTGCCCGTCGCAGCCCCTGCAAGTTTCCCTCACTGCTGCACACCAAACGGAAACTAGACAGCATCCATCGTCTTGTCAGAAGAACAGGTAGCCTCCCGCCCTCAGGGTCCTCCCAAAAAGTTGCATCTCCGACTTCTGGCCAGACTGGTCTATGGAAGAGAAGCCTTGATCCCCATTCTCATGTATCTGAGGTGGCTCTCCCTGTTCTCGTGCAAGGCCACGATGTGCTACTTCCGGGAGTTGCCCGATGATGGGGCACTTCGTGTTGCTGGTAGCATGAACAGCTGGCAGCTTTACCTGGCCCGTCGCAGCTTTTTTGGAATGCGGGCTGGTTTCTTTCGCTGGTGGACACGGGGCGGGAGCAAGGCAGCATTCATTCTTGTCAGAAGAAACAGATCTGATCTTCAGGCAACTTTAGAAGAGCGGAGGGCGAGCCCGACTTCCCGGATGCGAACGGGTGTGCGCACTTTGATCGTTTAGCCACCACGTTTCTGCGTGTTGCCAGGAGCCGCCCCGCCACTTGCCTGTTGAAGCTCTGTGGCTTGGCTTGGCACAACGCGCTGCCCTGCAGGCAGGCAGAGCGGGCCCGTCACATGGGCCAGAACGTTGTCGCATCGGAGCTCGTGTTGACTCGGTCTTGATTGCGTGCGCCCCCGACATGCGTCCGGAAACATGGCTTGAGGGTGAGAATGTAGAAGGTGATGAAGGTGCCCCCCAACTTGGAAAGGCACATCCGGGCATTTCCCAGATTCTCCCAGACTTCTGCACAATCCTGCCTTCCTCCCACCTAAAGCCCAAACCCTAAAGCCCCTAAACAAAACCCCCGTTGGTTCTTGATCCCTGGGAAAATCCTGGGTATGGCCAAAGCGGCTGCAGGAATAGAGCCGGCCCAGGCTGTATAGGAAGCTGCCTGCCTCTCCCTTTCTTTGTCAGGGCATGGAAGGCGAGCAGTGAGGCCGATCAGCCTCTGATCTAAGTCAGGGGAAGAAGGCTGCTCCCTTTGGGGCGCCATCTTCAGAGGCTCCGGAAGTCTTCGAGTTGCGCAGAGTCGACATAGTCGCCATCGTCTCGCGCGGCTTACATTCGTAAGGCTCGGAGAAGCTCGCCCCTTTGCTGCTGCACACGCCGGGGCTGGGGTGGGGGGCGAACAAGGTCGGAGAAGGGCGGGCTTTCCTTCAAGCAGCTGAGGGCAGAGGGCCAGCTCGACTTCCCGGACACACAAGCGTGTGCGCACGTAGGCCCGTTTGATTTTTCAAGCACCTCGTTGCTTTGCGACTTTGCGATGCCGCTCATCAGCCGCCTTCCAGATGAAACGCAGAAACACGCAAGGCGTTGTTGTCTCTTTGTGAGCGAGCAGCGAGCAGGGAGAACCCTCCGCATGTCTGCAAGGACAATGGAAGGGCTTTCGCCGATATGCTGTCGCCAACAGAGCTCCAGCTCGGGGTTTCGTGCTTTGCGCTTCGCAGTTTTGCTTTCGAGGATGCCGCTTCAGCAAGAGCGTTCACTTCGTGCTTCGGGGGAATGAGGTGCCCTTTCGGGGTTTGATGCGCCTTTCGCCGTTTGGAGCGTCGTCTTGGGGACAAGCGCTTTTGGGCGATCAGCCTCTGATCTGAGCCGTCAGGGGAGACGGCCGCTCCCCCCTCGTCCACAGTCCGCGCGTACGGAAAGATGCGCGACGCACGCTGAGTGCTCTGCAAGCTCCTTCAGTCTTCACTGAGCTCAGATTTCGCTGGGATGAGTCGGATGCCTGACGAGCCCGGAGAACCCAGCATGAGCTAGCCGAAGCAGCAGATGTGAGCTGTGTGGGCAGACTGTTTTTAAGCCTTCGCTCTCAGATCATCCCTCGCTTTCTGCTGTGCCCTGGTCCCTTTGGAGTATGGCTTGGGTTACGATGGTTCCCTTCTTCGCCGAAGCAATGTTCAAGAATACTGAATACTCGTTGATCCCAACCCGGAGGGGTTGGGCCGAGGACCCTGGCGGCAGCCTGCCACATCCCCTCTGTATCTCATCTCACCAACCTTTCAAGGAGATCCGCAAGGAACCAGGTGTCCTTCAGGTGACAGGGTGTTGAGCCTCTTCCCCCACTGCCGGAGCCTTGCGAGAGGTGAGGACAGGTGCCTGGCATCAGGGGTTTAGGATAGCTTGATGATAGCTTGGGGGTCGGCAAAAGAGTAACAAGTGAAATAAGTGATCAAGAACGAGTTCTGCCTGAGGCAACTGGACTGGGTGCGCACCAGAGACCCTCGCGCTGAGTTCCATTCGGGCGCCTGTTCATTGGCTCTTCAGTGCTGTGGAGGGCCGATGGGGTGCCATGGGATGCCATGGGATGCGATGCCCCGACTTGCCATTGCCCTTGCCATTGCCGTGCTGCTTCGCAGTCGATGGGCCACAGAAATTCTGGACGGGCGGTAGTGGCAGGCATGCTGTAAGATGATGCATCGATCTGACATGTCCTTGGCTGCGCCTCGTCTGCTGTGCCAGGCATGTGAGTTGTACCCGAATAGCAAACGAAATAAACGAAGCAAGCTTCATGTTTGGTCTACTCGTGCCTCCAAGCAAGCTCGAATTGCATCGTGCACATCGTGCACCTCAACCGCACAGACCCTGCGATGCAAGGTCAACTCTGTGGCGCGCCTGAGCCCGGCAGGTCTTGCCGCCGATGGCAGGCTCACAGCGAACACCGCGTAGCCCCGTGCTGCGGTCCGCTGTGTTCCGCTGTGTTCCGCTCTGAGCACGTGGAAGCGCATCAGATGTGCGCCGTGCGATCCCCCTGTCTGTGCATGCACTTGCGCTTTCGCAAGGCTGTAGTGGCGAGCGAGCCAAGATCGGGCCGTTTCTTCGCAACTTGCGCTTGACGCGAGGCAGCGGTGTTCAGCTGGGGCTTTTTTGGTCGGACACGGGGCACGCGCGTCGCGGGTGCACAGGCGGTGTGTGGGACACGGCGCCGTGTCTCATCACGACGAGCAACTCCTGCATGGCACGGCAAAAGAGGGCCCTTTTGTGAGTTTGCAGGCTGTGTTGGTGAGTGGGCATTCCAGGAGAGAGGTAGAGCTTTCGAGTTTAAAACAGAAGTCGACACGCCGGCTAAGCGGGAAGTTAAAACGAGACATCCAACACCCCACACAGCCACTCAGCCGCAGCCACAGCCACTCAGCCACTCAGCCACTCAGCCGCAGCCACTCAGCTACAGCCACAGCCACAGACGCATATGCAGACATTGCCACAGCCACAACGCTTTTCAACATCACAATTGAGCACGTGGCTATCCCAAAGTCACGCATCTTCTTTAGTTCGGCTGCCAAAAAAGCAGTGCAGGGTTTTCAAGCAGAGAATGCACAGAGCCCTGGGCAGTTTATACTTATTTATGAAAGGGTACGCGTGCAGTGGCTTTTTGGTCGATCGCCGGAAGCTAGTGAGCCAAGTTCTCAGACATTCTGCAGGGGTGAATAGGGAGGTTTAGGGTTTGGGGTTCAGGGCTTAGGGTTCAGGGTCCATAAGGTGTCTGTGGGGGTCCATCACAGCGCGGCACCTACCGGCTGTTGGGCCAGGCCATATGATCTGAGATGCCAGAGTCACAGCCGACTTTTTTCATTCGCAGCACTTGTTCTTTCCATAAATTCCATCCGTTTTCCTCCAGAAATGTGTCTTGAGCTCTGGGACTTAGCGCTTTGGGGACAGTTGAGGGGGCCGATAAGAGTTGACGGGTACAAAAACGGAGGTCCATAGGAGGAGGTCCATAGGAAATCCAGAAGATCCATAGGGTTCATAGAGCACAGGAGGTACCGATCCAAAAAGTAGAGCCCCCAACTAGTACCCTATACTTTGGGATGCTCCCCCTTATATTAAAAGTTCGAAATAGGGATTATAGCACCCCTATTCAAATCCCTGTTAAGGACTGTTAGTATCAAGGGGAACATCCCAACCTGCACTGCTATTTGGGTCATTTTTTGGGACCTAGGAACCCTTTAGGGGGATCTAGTTTTTGGATCCTCCCTGAAAATGCCAATAGTCCATCGTAGTCCATACCTCGGCAGATGAAACTTGGGAACGAGTGACCAACTGCGCCGCTGCACACTTCGAGCCTACTAGACTACGTTGCCAAAGGTGCCCTGCGGATCGGGCGTGCAAAGCGCTGGAGAGGTGATGGCTGCCGGCGCCTTTCGAGGAGACATGGCAGCCATGGACGGAAACGACGTCCGACGCCTCAGATCAGCTAGCTGCTGCGAGAGAACAGAAAACGGCAGCTTTGCGCGTGGAATGATTATAGTGTTGTGATTAACCTCAACCTTGGAGCAAGCCCCCAAGACAAGAGCAAGCTTTTAGGACATGGCCTGAAGCCGAACAACCTTGTTCCTCCCCCGGAGCTGGCTCAGCGGCTCATAGCGGCTCCAGGTATCCAGGAATCCAAAGGCTGCAATGGTGCAGTGTTCAGGCTCTCCACTCTTGCTTCCCAACGGCCCGGCCCTTGCTTTGACATTCTCCATGAGCTTGTTTGCAAGGATGACACTTTTGTTCAGAGTCGCGTGAATCCAAGCCCCCAAGACTGCGCATGTAGCCCTCTGTGTTTCATGGCTGAGAACATTTCCATCGCTGGTGGCAGCTGGGAGCATGGTGCTGAGGCCGCAGGCGCGGCCGGAACCAATCTTTCGCGCAGAAACAGGCTGCGGTCACTGCGCGGGACTTAGTGACCAGCGCCGCCCTGCTCATGCAATGTTCCAATACCAGGCACTGCCACACATTTTCGAAAGGATGGGTGAAAAAAGCCTCGAAGCCTTGCGCCCGCGAATTTTTTGTGGAAGGCTCCAGGCGACTCATTCGGGATTGCCTTGGGAGCACGATCTCGATGACGGAAAGCGCGCGAGTCCGAGGCGGCGCATATTGCGATGCAGCCCGAGGGCCTAGGGCCCCAGGGCCAAGAGCCACGAAATTGCTTGCGCAGCCGATAACAGAAAGAGAACAAAAACAACGGACAAGCCCAGCAAGTCGTTCTCTGCCACGTGCGCCTACGCACAGAGCTGCGCAGGCTGCGCAGTCGCGAAGCGCTCGCGAAGTTCGAGATCTGGCCAAGGTATTCTCCAGGCATTCTCCAGGCGTTGCCCAGTGATGCACACACACATGCTCGGATCTTCCTCATGAGGACCAGCGCACTCGTGCAACTGAGTTCATCCAGCATTGCACGCGTTGACGCAATCGTGTTCTCCGCGCGGAAAGACAAACTCGGAATTGGCCCGGCTGCGGGCGGGCTGCGCCTTTGCCCGAACTTGCAACAATGTCCTTCCAGGCATTGTTTGCGGACTGCCTTCTGATTTGTGTGCGTTTCTTTCTGTCTGCGCGCCTGGATGCCTGTGCGCGGCCAAACGAATGCTACGATGCTACGCGCAAGTTTGAATGCCCCTTACCGGCGAAGCTCAAGGTTCTGCGATGTTCTGCGTAGAGGGTCCTTTTGTGGTTCGGATTGCGGTGCGTCTGGAACACAGGTCTCTGTCAGTTTTCTTTTGGGTAAGATCGGGTAAGGCCTTGTAGTCACGTGCGTAGATCTCTTGCAACTTGCAAGTAGGCATCATCTTCAAGTACTATTCCTTCTTCTAAGAATACACGCCTGTCAGCGTCGTCTGTCTCTTGCACAGGATTGGAAAGTGAAGATCGGCGCCAGCGAGTAGCCCAGAGCCGCTGTGAAGACTTCACAAGAGCTGCAGCAAAATTGTTGTCTTAAGACTGTCTTGCTTCATGTACTTAGGCCAGGCCTCACCGGCTTCAGAGCCTTCCGTGCACTTGGCCCAGCAGAAGGAGCGGTGGGTTTCTGCAACTTTGTAGCTGGAGGCCGAACGATCATTTCAGTTCTGGACACGGGTGGGTTCCAAAGCAGTTTTGACATCTGATTACGCCAAAACAGCCCGGCGCGCGGAATGGTTCGGCAGTTTGGGCCACCTCTAAACCAACTTGGGCAAACAGGGGAAACTGCTGATGTAGTCAAAGCCCGTGAAGGCTGGAGGGCTTTAGGCTTCAGAGCCTTGCGCTGCAGGCTTGAAGGCTTGAAGCCTTAAAGCTTTCAATGCAGAGACCTCCCGGGGCCTCGGGGGACTCTCTGGGGCCGAAGGCGATCGCAGATCCCGCCTGCAAAAGCTATGGTTGCAACTCCCCCTTACCCTATTCTAGTGTCCACGAACAAATTCCCGTCTTCGTGCCTCGGTTGCACGTGCAGTCACGTGCAGTCACGTGCGCCTGTAAGAACCTTGCGGTGCTGTAGGTTTGGCTGAGGGCCGTTAACCTTATCGTATCTTGTCTTACACATGCGCATATACGTATACATATATATATATATATATGGTCACCCCCCCCCCTCGACAGACCCCGGAATTGTATTTCCGATCTGTCCAGGAAGCGGGGGGGGGGGGAAGAGCACCACTCCAAAATTCCTCGAGTTTCCAAAAATCCAAAAATCCAAAAATCCCAACCCAAGTTTCGGATTTTTGGAAACTCGAGGAATTTGCTCAAAATCCAAAAAAACCCAAAATTCCTCGAGTTTCCAAAATTCCAAAAATCCAAAAATCCCAACCCAGTTTCGGATTTTTGGAAACTCGAGGAATTTGCTCAAAATCCAAAAAAACCCAAAATTCCTCGAGTTTCCAAAATTCCAAAAATCCAAAAATCCCAACCCCAGTTTCGGATTTTTGGAAACTCGAGGAATTTGCTCAAAATCCAAAAAAACCCAAAATTCCTCGAGTTTCCAAAATTCCAAAAATCCAAAAATCCCAACCCCAGTTTCGGATTTTTGGAAACTCGAGGAATTTGCTCAAAATCCAAAAAACCCAAAATTCCTCGAGTTTCCAAAAATCCAAAAATCCAAAAATCCCAACCCCAGTTTCGGATTTTTGGAAACTCGAGGAATTTGCTCAAAATCCAAAAAATCCAAAATTCCCCGAGTTTCCAAAAATCCGAAACTGGGGTTGGGTTTTTGGATTTTTGGATTTTTGGAAACTCGAGGAATTTTGGGTTTTTTTTGGATTTTGAGCAAATTCCTCGAGTTTCCAAAAATCCGAAACTGGGGTTGGGATTTTTGGATTTTTGGATTTTTGGAAACTCGAGGAATTTTGGGTTTTTTTGGATTTTGAGCAAATTCCTCGAGTTTCCAAAAATCCGAAACTGGGGTTGGGATTTTTGGATTTTTGGATTTTTGGAAACTCGAGGAATTTTGGGTTTTTTTGGATTTTGAGCAAATTCCTCGAGTTTCCAAAAATCCGAAACTTGGGTTGGGATTTTTGGATTTTTGGAAACTCGGGTTTTGGTGAGATTCTTTTAGGGGTTCTACACTCATGAGAAATATGAAATATTTTCAAAACACAGAGAGCTATGCTAGCAACAGCTACTGGAGTTTAATATTGATTCCTATTCATTTTAATCAAATGCCAAATAATTGGAATACGAGTCTGAGTAATTGTAACAGCATTCTTCTTCCTAGTTAGTTTTAATAAAAGTCTTAGAATTTTAATAAGCTTCATAACACATTTTATACATATTCCTATTAATCTCAATAGGCTTCTTATTCATTTTCATAAGATGTCTTACAATTTCTAATTGGGTTCCTTTTGCTTTGACAAGCTTCCTATTCATTTAAAAAGGCTTCTGATTAATTGGAATAGGCTTCGTATTCATTTTAACAGGGTTTCTCATTCATGTTGACAGGAAGTCTAATAATGTTCATAGGATTCCTACTAGATTCCACAGTGCTCCGATTATGTTTTTAAATCCTGTTCCCTATTCATTTCAATTGGACTCGAAGTAATGTTATTGTAACTCTTATTTGCTTTATTGGCAATCCTATAAATTAAATGTTTTAATAGGGTTCATTATAATTCTAACAGTACGACTCTTATTGTTTTAAGTTTTGAAGGGTCCACATTACTTTTTTTATAGAATTTTATTGGCTCCTCTTAATCCTTTAATAGGATTCATCTTCATGTTAAACGGATTCCTTTTACTCCTAAAAAGAAGTCATAGATTCTTTTGTAGGGTTCCTATCAATTTTAATAGCATCCCTATGAATTCTAAAGGGTTCCTATTCATTTGAATGGCCTTCCTATGGTTCCTCTGAATTTAGGACGCCAAGAAATTTCAATAGGAGCTTCTACGTATTTCAACTAGGTTCTTATTAATTGTACTAGGATTCTTACTAAGTTTCCAAAAAGACTCGTCTTAATTTCAATAGGGTTCTCATTCATTCCTATTGATTTAAATAGGATTCCTATTGAACTCATACGAAGCCTATGAATCCTAATAAACTTAATAGGAACCCAAGTAAAACTAAGAGCAATCTTATTAGAATTAATAGCAATCCACGATGTCGAGCAAATTGTTCAGGTCCTTACAGCATGCGCCCTTCTCACATCTGTCTGCATCTTTCATTGCGAACACAAAACCGTACCAATCGAAAAAATATGCTCTATTGTGTGTTAACGTGTCTGGCTACTGTGTGCAGCTATGCTGTCCGTCGCGCCCTCAGCCTTTTTTTCGCTTCCGGGGTCTGTCGAGGGGGGGGGGTGAGCATATATATATATATATGTATATATGTATATATGTATATATGTATATATGTATATATGTATATATGTATATATGTATATATGTATATATGTATATATGTATATATGTATATATGTATATATGTATATATGTATATATGTATATATGTATATATGTATATATAATTTTTTTATTTTCCGTGTGCTGCCCGACCCATCTAGCCTCGTGGTTCCAGGACACGGGCAAGCGCGGGAACGTTGGTGTCAAGGTGTGGTTTGCAAGCAATGGGTTCGCGGATGCGAAGTTGACACATGCTGAGTAACCCCCATGCGCTTTCTGGTTCTCGTGCTTTCTTGCCCAGTTGTTCTTGAACAAGAACGACTTGGTGGATTGGCTGGTGAACAAGGCACGGAGCCCAGCTGCAGAAATGTTGAGATGAATTAGCAGGTGTCTGTCTGAGGATTTTAGGACAACAGCTTCCCGGAAACCTGGCTGAAATCAATCCGACGAGATCAGGCCCTGAAGATCACAAGACATTTCTACACTAGGTTGATTTCTGCGCCTATGAGTATGATTACGCTCCTCCAGATGTTGGGGGCGGGGAATGAAGCCATGAACGCACACGAAGATGCATGTGGTGCCGGCGCGTGGTCCTCGCGAAGCAGGGTGGAGAAATGCGGGAGCAGATCAGGTCGCGGTCGAAGTAGATGCTCCCGGCATTTTGAGGTGAAGAGGCGTAGAGCCACATTGCACAGACTCACGTTCCAATGCGATGAGATTTGGGAAATGCTCCACAGAGACAGCCTCAGTCCATGAACACCTTTTGTCCCAGCTCCTGCGAACTGGTTAAGTGAGATCTTTTCCCGAATGTGTAGCAGCAGGGTTCCCATTCAAGAGGTGCGGTTTCCGGGGTTGGGAGTTTCCGGGTAGCCTTCGCGTCTGAAAGCGTTCGAAAGCGTTCGCGAATCGAGCTGTGCTGGTGGGAGTCCAGCGTTTTGGCCCGTTTTCGGTCATAGCATGCCTCAAAAGTGCAGACGGGCACGAGGATGAGGCCTCTGAGGGTCATGGAGGTACGTCATCCTCGTGACTGTCTTCGCTTTTTGCTATGGTTGCTGACAGCCACGAGGATGAGTCACGTGGGTGGTGGCGTCCTCGTCTGTCATCCTGATTCCCAAGTTTTCCTTATTGGTGCGTCTTCGCTTACTATCTGCGGTTTTTCTGCATATTGGTGCATCTCCGCTTACTATATGATCTACGTGCAGTTGTTTTGCTTGTTGGTGCGTTTATGTGCGTTTTCGCTTACTATGTGCGGTGGTCTTGCTTATTGGTGCGAGGTTGTTCTGCATGTTGGCGCGTGTGCGTCTTCGTTCTATACACGCTTGTCATGTTTATTGGTGTTCGCTTCCTAGCGGTTGTTTTGCTTATTAGTGCGTCGTCGGTTATTATATGGTCTATGTGCAAACAGTTGTAAGCAGTTGTTATGCTTATTGCTGCATCTTCGCGTACTATGTGCAGTTTTTCTGCTTCTTGGTGCGTCTGACTGTGCGGTTGTTTTGCTTGTTGGAGCGTCTTCGCTCACTATAATTATGCAATGGTTTGCGTCTTGTTCTGTTTATTGGTGCGTCTCCGCTTGCTCTGCGGTTGTGTTGCTTCTTGGTGCGTCTTGGTTCACTATATGCTATGTGATCTGTGTGCAGTTATTTTGCGTATTGGTGCGTCTTCGATTCGTATGTGCGGTTGTTCTGCTCAGCGTGTCCTAGCATGTCCTAGCAGGTCCTAGCGTGTGGGACTCATGTCCATTCCAGGTGGCTCCCTTGCAGTCGGATGCTCCAATGTCTATCGGCTTGAAGGACCTTTCCCAGCATGTTTGTGTTGTGCTGCTGATTGCGGATGCCTTCCGCAAAGCTAGCACATATTCTGCGTCGGCTCCCGGGAGTTGCTCTTACAGTCCTTCGCGTGGTGCTGGGCAGATGCCTGCGCAATGCTACCTGCTATACCAAAATCCCGCTTGAAGGAATGCAATCCGGTCACGCTGCTTCCCTCCGCGAGCCCCCGAGCTCTGCCACGGCTGGCTTGCAATCCTTGTCCCCCTTCAGTGATGCATGACCTCCGTTGAGCTCACTTGAGGTGGGGACTTCGTTGGATTCCAAGCCCTTGGACCTGCCACATGTCCGTGTCTTGGTGGGGCCTCTCCCTGCGTTGCGTGCGCCTGCAAAGCCATCTACAGGAGCGAAGTGGCGGCAAGTTCCTGTGCCTGAACAAGGACGACTGGCGGCTCTTTGACATCGCAGTTGATCTGAAGCCATGCAAGCCCGGTTTGCTACCCTTACCAGAACAAGGAGTCTTATGTGCGGCCATGAGACTTCAAAGGGCAGTTTAGATCAACAGTGATCAACACTGCCTAAGCTAGGAGCCCACGACCTTTCAGCTCAAGATCCGCAAGGTCCGAATTTGCTGAGACATCTTATCAAGAGGACATGCCACGAGCGCGCCAGGACGCTGCGAGTTTGAAGTCGTCCAAGGCAATACGAGGGTGAAGGGACTTTCCTACTCTGCCACAGCTATACATCCATTCTGCATGAACCTAAGAGAGGCCCCGGCGAAGCTGCTACCAACACCTGCCATCCTGGGCCGCGTGCCAAGCTGGAAGATTTGAGAGCTGAGGTGACTCGGGGGTCGCTGGTAATCGGTGGTGCAGCACTCCCGTTGGCCGAATCCATGTGCCGAGGCGTTGAAAGCGGTTTCTGGGGCGTGGACTGAGGCCGTGAGGGACATAATGCAGTTCATGGTTTCCGTTGTCACTGCTGTGTGGTTGCTGTTTGCTGTTTGCCACAGGGGACCCCCAAGAAAAGCGTCGCCGGCTGGGCTGCCGCGCCCCCGGCCCGCGCACGCGTTTTGCCGTTTTGGCCAGATTATTCAACCCCATGCTGTTCTCTGCTGTTTTCAGGAGGCCGGCGGTGGTGCAGCCAACGCTGCTGGAGAGGGACAGGAAGACGAGAAAAAAAACACAAAAGCCTTAAAAAGAATCGTGACAGATGAGATATGCCCCCGCCTAAGCTCCGCACTGTCTGTACTGAGCTGTACAGGATGGAGAGACCCTGTCAGGGCCACGCTCTAGCGTTTAGCCCGATCACAAAGGCGATGATGGGCTCTTGCGGCCCTTGCGCCGTGGTCATCATCAGGCTGTCATCCCAGACTTGCATGCCCATTACGGGATGTCGAAATCCAAGATCGGGCAGGCGAGCCGAGCACAGCAGCGCCCAGGTTTCTGCGGCAAAGGGCTTAGCGGGGAGTGGGGAAGAGTGCGATCCAGCGGCATGCCCCATCTCAACATGCCGCTTGTCTCTGTTGCCTCTGCCTTTCCGTCTGTCAGTCTATCTGGCGGTCTCGCTCTCACTCTTTGCTATCACTCCCTAACTCTGCAAGAGGACGTTAGGAGAACTAAGAAACATGAGGAACTAACGTCCGGGGGGTCATTGGACAGAATGTCTGGAAAGTGTGGACGCTGACGTGCGCCGCCTGTTTGGGTGGTGGATGGGATGTGAGTGAGTTGGTGTTAGGTGTTTTCGACGCAACGTGCCTTCAGTCCTTCAGGGTATTCTGCCTGTGCAACAGATGAGGTGCAACAAATGGTTGGCGAGCGCCGCGAGCGCCATGTTTCAAGGCTCGACGCAGCGGTCTTTCCTGTGCCAGGGGGTTCGCTTAAGTCAAGAAGTTGAGGCAAAAAAACCGGGGCAATTAGAGGCAGGTTGTACTGGCTTCGCTTCACGGAAGTGATGTGAGGCTGCTCGCGACTCGCAACCTGTTTCACTGGCCTTGCCACTGCATCAGCCTCAGCACATGGAGTGCCCTGCACCCTCGAGCCTGGTTTCTGATTAATTGCCGCGATAGTTGGGTGGATAGTTGGGTCCAGAAGGGAGCTTTAGGCACATGCGTTTGCTTGCAGTGCGTTTGGTGTGCTGTTTTCCATCTGGTTGACAAGAGAATCGCTTAATCACGAGAGGCGTGCTTCCAAAGAGATAAAGAGTGCGCCCGCGCAGCTGCGCGTGTGCTGCGTGTGTGCTGCGCGCGTGTGCTGCGAGGGTGCTGCGCGTGTGCTGCGCGTGCGCTGCACGTGTGCTGGCACGCGCGCTCGCAGGCACAGTGCCAGGCACAGGCCAGGCGCACGCCTCACGCCCACGCCCACGCAGGCCTATGCGCGCGTGATCGCGCCTGCACGTGCGTTTGCGCCCATGCCCACACACAGGTGATCACAGGCGGATCCACCCACGCACGCGCCCAGGGAAGAGTTCGATCCAGTGGCGTTCCCCTCTTCAATTTGTCCATCTGTCTGTCTATCGTCGGTTTCGCTTTCACTCTTTGCTATGACTAGGACAATAGGAGCATTACGAACATGAAGATCAAACGTCCGGTGTCCTTGTCGAAGGAGAAGAGGCCGCTAGGCGGAGGTCCTTGGACAGAATGCCTGCAAATTGCAGATGCTAACATACGTGGTGGGATGTGAGTGAGTTGTCAGGTGTTTTCTGACGCAACGTGTCTTCAGTCCTTCAGTGTATTCTGTCTGTGCAACAGATGAGGTGTCACAGACGGTGGCGAGCGCCGCGAGCGCCGCGTTTCAAGGCTCGCTAGCCTCGCTTAAGTCAATAAGCTGAAGTAGAAAATAGAGGCAGTTAGGGGCAGCTTGTACAGGCAACTATGGGGTACTCATGAGATGGACAAAGTTCGCTTCGCGGAAGTGATGTGAGGCTGCTCGCGACACGCGAGATGTTGCACTGTATTTTCCACTGCGTCAGCCTCAGAAATTGGAGCAGCCTGGTTTCCCACTAGCTACCGCGATAGTTGCGAGGAAAGCTTGCCTTGTCTAATCACAAGGGTTCTTGAGGCACATGCGTTTGCTCATAGGTGTTTTTGGTGTTCTCCCTTCTCTCTCTCTTAATCACGAGAGCCTCTGTTTAGCGTTGCAGTGCTTTGGGGTGGTACGGGTGAACGCACGTGCGCGTGTGCGGGTGCGTGCCTACGCCCACGCAAACCTCATCCCCACCCCCACCCCCACGCCCGTGCATGTCACACCCAGATCCACGCGCACTCGCGTGTGTCACGTTCTTGTTTCTTTTTCATCATGTCATCTTGACATGCTCCCCGGTCGATGTCTCGCTCATTTTCTTTCTCAGATTCTCAGGAGACATGACATGGCCTCCTGCGTCTGTCGCGCCCTTTGTCTTTTCTCTCTTGTCAACATGACCTGGACTCTCGTGTGTGTTAAAACCCTTTGCTTCGCTTCAGGTTAGCGCGACATGGGCAAAGGCTTGCCGAAGCCAAAAAGCAGGCATTCCCAAAAAGCTTTCGCATTGATGGAGCTGGCAGGCATGGGTTGAAACACCATTTCCTCAAGCAGACTCCTCATGGCCGCGAACTGTGGCAGGTCCTTGTTTTTCTCTTCTGTGACTTCTCACGATGAACAACTTCGTATTGTCGCGTGCAGCACTTCTCGTGCACATAAGCTCGAACTTTAGCAGATTTTGGCTTACCGTTTTACTGCCTGTTTACTTGCCATGTACAAAAGGGCGGGGTGATTGAGGCGTCACCAAGGAAGGGCCAAGGGAGGGTCCGGGATGTTCTGTTTCGCTTCACATCACGTGGTCCTGGATTGACAAGAAGCGCGGGGGTTTTTGTGAGTTTTTGTCTTAATGCCGCTGCCCTTGAGCAATGCTCTCTACGTTTGCCCAGGAGCCGAGACAAGAGGATTGCGTGGGTCCACGCAGTTTCAGAAGAGGCCATCCTGGGAGAGCCCAGTCCAGTTCAACACACTCCAGCAGCGGCAGGTCAAAGCTACCCAAAGGCAATAGCGAGATCGACGCCGCCATGAAAGACATTGTGTGGCCCCTAGGCGAGTTTGTTGTCTCATTTCGCAGCAAAGATACATGCGCGGACAGGGCAAATGTTGGATTGTCGCTATCCTTTGCCGAGGATGGTGTTGACGTCTCCGAATATGTTTCAGCTGGTGCCCTGACGGCTTGGGTCTCCTTTGCTGTTTTGCGCTGCTGTCATTCGCTGACAGCTTTCTTTGTTGTTGTGGAGTTCGTCGCCAACCATTGCGATTAGCTTCGCGCATGTCTCGTGCAGCTTGCGTTTTTGTGAAGAACGTCTTTGTGCTTTCTAGGCTTCTGCTTGATCTGTCCCTGCTTGCCGGAGGTTTCTGGTGAGCTCAACTGCGAGCGACTGGATTTGACACACAGCAGCTCCCGAGACCCTGACTGAGGTTCTGACGGAGTGCCCCCTGGAAGCAGCTGGCAACTCCGTAAAGCTAAAGGCCGGGCGCCTCGATTGCTTTGACTTGCCCGGGGAAACAACTGAAGCCTGCTCTCTGCTGGATGTTGCAGGAATTGAGGGCTGTCAACAAAGCTTGTGGCGCCTTGGTTGCATCGCTCCAGATTGCAGAATTGTTCTGTGGAATGGATCTTGGAATGGATCCTACCGTCAACTTCCGAGTTAGGCAAAAGCTCAATGCGACTCACGAAGAGCCGCAGCCTCAGCACTGCTCTCGGCCTTTCTCGGCCTTGCTCGGCCTTGCGTGTCAAGAACGAAGTGTGGCAACTTGTCTTGCGTTTCTCGCAGGTTCGGAGCTCAACTGGGTAAGGGCGAAAGCAGTCAAGTGCACGAAGAAGTGCAAGCAGGCCTTCGCCTCAAGACCACCTTCAGAGCTCAACAGGAGACGATTCTTTCTCCGTGTCGCCGTTGCATAGCGAAAGTGAAGAACACGACGAACATGTGAACGGGTGCCTATGGTACGTGCGCGGAGTTGTCTCCATCGAACCAATAGTCCCACAGGCCCCCCCACTACAGCAGTTGAAGTGCAGTGCCCAGGTGCAAGCGCCAACGCGTTCACTGCCAGAGATTTTTGCACAGTCGGCCGCTCGTGTCTTGTTGTGCTCTGAACGACAGGTGGCAAATGTGCTGGGCGCGCGCTTGCGTTTCTTTTGCTCAGGCTGTGTGACATCGCCGTGCCAAAGGAGCAGGGCGAAGCTTCAGTCCATGTACGTCGTCCCTTTGGGATCTGCAGGAGGCCACGTGGCTAAGCGTTTTCTTGTGGGGTGTTGCTGGCACATGTCTATGTGCTCCATGACTGGTGGTGACCATCATCAACGTCCATGAGCCCAGCATGAACTCAAGCTCGCAGTTGGTGGCGAACTTCACCATCATCTCCGCATTTGAGCAGAAGCGCGCGATGAGTTGTCACGCACTCGGCCTACCAGGTTGAAGTCAATTCTTTTATGCCTGATTTTTCGCACGATGCACGAGGCTTGAACATAGCCCCCGGCAAAGCAGCAAGCTTGCGCTGGGAAAAGGACTGGAGTGGTGGAATGGGAAACAGCCCCTGTCAACATGACATCGCTCCCGGCGTATGTCGCGACCCCGTGTTTTGTTGGATCAGGAACTTCGGGGGGAAGGTGGGTGCCACCGTCAAATCGTGATGAATCAGCCCCGAGGACATCGTCGAGCCCAGATCCCGAGGGCTGGCCTTCGCCAGTTTGCCCCGAAGCTTTTCCGGCGGCACTTCTGGATCGTTGGAGAACGCAACATCCGGCTGGCTTATGCTGTCCCGCCAAGCTGGCGCTCGGACAGAACTTGCTCCAGCTTCGGAACGATTGACCAACTGCGCCGCTGCACACTTCGAGCCTACTAGACTACGTTGCCAAAGGTGCCCTGCGGATCGGGCGTGCAAAGCGCGGGAGAGGTGATGGCTGCCGGCGCCTTTCGAGGAGACATGGCAGCCATGGACGGAAACGACGTCCGACGCCTCAGATCCGCCAGCTGCTGCGAGAGAACAGAAAACGGCAGCTTTGCGCGTGGAATGATTATAGTGTCGTGATTAACCTCAACCTTGGAGCAAGCCCCCAAGACAAGAGCAAGCTTTCAGGACATGGCCTGAAGCCGAACAACCTTGTTCCTCCCCCGATAGGGACCCCCCTGAAAGGAATGTCATGTTTTGTTTTTTTTTTGTGCGTGTGTGTGCGCCCTAAGCCCTAAACCCTCAACCCCTACCCCCTCTTTCTGCAGTTCTGCGAACATCCGGCACAGGCTCACAGGAGTCAGCATAGAGCAGGCAGGGAAACAGTTTGGGGTTTAGGGTGTAGAGTTTGGATTTTAGGGCATAAGGCAGAGGGTTGTATGTTGACAAAGTAGCTTCCCACAGCTTCTGCGGCATGGACGTGTACAGGATTGGCCATGGTTCCTTTCGTGGACTGATCTGCGTATATTCGGACGACGACACCTTAGAAATTTTCCAACAGGCGAAGAATCTCGCCTGTGAGTGTGCTTGCTTGGCTTCGCCCTCAGAAGCCAAGGAGTCACACCCACAGGAACTCCAACAGTTTTTGAACACAACTAGTTTTTCCACATGTCATTGGCAATACCTTGAAGCTCGGCTGTTCTTGAGTTTCTTGCCGGTATTCATGTGACAGACGCGCATCGCGGGGAACACCCTAAACCCGAAAGCCATAAACTCCAAAATGCCTAAAGCCTCAACCTCTATGCCGCAAAGCCCTAAATCCCTAAGCCTAGAATCCTACAGAAGGCTTCCAGTGCAGCCCAGGAAACAGCTGATGCACGGGGCCTGGGCTTGGGAAGCAACAAGCAGAAGCACCTGGGTCATGGTCAAGGAACTTAGTTTAGGCCACGAATGTTGTTGTAAGGACCTAAAAAAACGTCTTGAAGGATCTCATGTGAGTTGTCCGTCTGTTAAGTACGCAGTATGCTCTGTGGAGGAACCCAGGTACTCCCGAGCTGCTTTCCTGGCTTTGGCCCTGGACAAGGCTCGCCACGCCGACTCGGTGCCTTCCATCTTGCGTGAGCCTTTAGACTCGCTCTGGGGCGCTGCTGACCTTGAACATGGGTGCATGCGCGTCACGCCCGGAGAATCGCGCGGAGCGCAAGGGCAGAAGAGAAGCCGCACGGATGGAGTCGAAAGCCTGAGCCATCGGGACTACTTTGTGCAGCTCTGGGGCGAGTGCGCAGCAGCTGCCGGTGGTCGCAGGCTGCCAGATATCTTGCAGGCAACGCACATCCCTGGCATGCGGGCGCAAGGCCTCTGGGTGGGGCGCAAGAAGGCTCATGCCATTCTCATGGCGGCGCGGGGCATGATGCACGAGGAGCTACGCAGGTCCAGCAAGGACGTGCTCATAGAAGACTTAGACACTCAGCCGTGGCAACTGGTGGTCGCAGGAGCTTCTGACAAGATTCGGGAATCCTTGGTAGGACCGGGGATCAAAGCGTTTAGAATCGAGATGCGCAGGAAGGAGCGCTGCCCCTACACAAAAGATCCCATGTCTGTCTTTGTGGCTGAGCGGGTGGACGGGTGGAAAGTCATCCACCATCCGCATGCTCACAAGGATGAAGAGTTGCGTTTTGAAGACGACAAGAACCTAGGTTCGGCGGAAGCACCTGTTGTGTGATTTCCTGTCAGAAGGATTATGCTGTGCTTGTTGCATATTTCAGGCTTGAGAAGTACGCATATTCTTTGTGCCTTGTGTATGATTGTGTTTGTATGTGTGTCTTTTTGACAGGTTATTTTTGGAAGCCGTATAGAATTGGAGCATCATGAAACTACAACATCAATGGCGTTGTTTGTTTTTGTGGGCAAATGAGCACCCAGGAATCAGAAGAAGTACGAGTCCGCTTTCCCCACGCAAGACGAGATGACCAGGCAGATGTTGGGTCTACAAATCGCATAGGAGAGGGTTCCCAGTGCTTTGCAGTATGGAGCAAGATCTGGCCGAACCCTCAACCCGAACCCTCAACCCTCCCCCTAAACCCTAAACCTAAACCCTAAACCCTAAACCCTAAACCCTAAACCCTAAACCCTAAACCCTAAACCCTAAACCCCAGAATACTGCGCAGGGTTTAGAAGGTTTGTAAACAGCCCCTTGGCGTCCATAGCATACGGATCGGTACCCGGGTTTAGGGTCTTGGGGGTCCAGGGCTATCTAGGGCTCTTAAGCTTAGCCGAAGCCCTAAACCCTAAACCCTAAACCCTAAACCCTAAACCCTAAACCCTAAACCCTAAACCCTAAACCCTAAACCCTAAACCCTAAACCCTAAACCCTAAACCCTAAACCCTAAACCCTAAACCCTAAACCCTAAACCCAAAGCCCTGTTGAGCAGGGCTTTTCGACTGGCCACGGACTGGTCAGTCAAGAACCGATGGAACGCATTCCAAGCCAACGTGTTTCAGCAGCTGCTGCGCCGCTTCAAGGACAGCGTTGTGAAGATGTAAGAGCTAAACCTTAAACCCTGAACCCTATGTACCACTTAATCCGCAAGGGTCACTGTCTTTTTGGATCTGGGCTGTCGGGTGTAGCCCTAAAGTCTTTGAGGGTCCATACAAGTTTGGCATGTCTTGAAGTCAAACTTACAGCCGTGAACCTTAAACCGAAAGAGCCCCCAAACCCCAAACCCCAAACCCAAACCCCGAACCCTGAACCCTGAACCCTGAACCCTAAACCCTAAACCCTAAACGCCCTAAACCCTAAACCCTAAACCCCAAACACCAAAAACCGAAAGAGCCCGAAGTCCCCGGAGCCCTGAGGATGATCATCGGCCCCGTGGCTTCCAGCTGACCGACTTTCAACGAGGGGCGACTTGGATGACTTGGGAGTGGAACAAGCAAGCAAGGGAGGTTGGGGGGTTTAGGGTTTAGGTTTTGGGGTTTAGGCATTAGGGTTTAGGGTTTAGAGTGATTTCGTTATCGTCGCCGTCGCCGCCGTCGCCGTCGTCGTCGTCCTCCTCGTCGTCGTCGTCGTGGTGGTCGTGGTCGTGGTGGTGAAGCCCCCCTGAAAAGTTCCTGGAACTCTGGAAATCCCCTAAAAAACCCTTGCGTGGCCCTGGAGGTCCCTGGGAGGCATCTGGAGCTCCCTGAAAGGCTCTGCGGTTTTTGGGAAGCCCCTGAAGCCTGAACAGGCGAGGCAGGTGTGAGGCCCGTTGGAAAAATTCCCGAAAGGCCTGAAAGGCCCTCCTGGTGTGTTTGTCTGCTGACTCCGGACAAGCCTAGTCCTGCGGGTGCCAGGGCCTCTTGAGGCTGCAAAGATCTGGGCTGAAGGCTTCGTTGATGTCCTTCGCAAGGTAGGTAGGTCTTTCGCCATGTAGCCTTGAAAAACAATGAGAAGGCCCTCCGGCCGAAGACGCCCCCCAACGCAAACGTTGATTTGGCTCTCGCAAGCTTCTAGATCTTTGTAGAAAAGGGTCTTTCGCCATGCAGCCTCTTCGCTCCGGCAAAGAGAAGAAAACAATGAGAAGGCCCTCCGGCCGAAGACACCCCCCTGACACATGACTTTCACAAGGCGTGTTTATAGCAACAAGCTTTTCGCCATGCAGCCTTGATACCCCGACGTCCAGAATGGAACAATGAGAAGGCCCTCCGGCGAAAACGTCTCCCAATGCAAAACCGAATTTTCTCTCTCGAAAGCTCGAATTCTAACATCTTTTCCACGGCCTTCTCAGATGTCATCTTGCAACAAGGCATCAAGCTCCAAGATATAAGGCAGCGTGCTAGATGTTAGTCCGAAGTACAGCGTTCAGTGCCGAAGTGTTTGGATGTGGGCTGGCTTGGGTTTGGCTCGTTTTGAGTAGTGTTTGGGTGGGCTTGGGTGGGCATGTTTGCACACAATTACGTCCAGCACGACCACTGCTACTCCCTAAACCCTAAACCCGAAACCCCAAAACCCTAAAACACCAAAACCCTAAAACACCAAAACCCCAAACCCTAAAACCAACCCACAACCACCCCACGAGAGGGAGGGTTGGGGGGGAGGGTTGGGGGGGAGGGGGGGAGGGGTGGGAGGGGGAGGGGGGGGGGGAGGGGCGAGCATAGCGCAGGGGGGGACAGGGGGGGGGGAGGGGGGAAGGGGGAGGGGGGGGCGCAGCCATATGAAGCTTACTTGCTTCCCAAACCGAGTACAGTGTAAGGCCGTTCAGGGTCTTTTCGGGCATCCAGACAAACCCTTGAAAAACCTAGCGTTTCGGGTTTCGGGTTTCCTATTCCCTAAACCCTAAACCCTAAACCCTAAACCCTAAACCCTAAACCCTAAACCAAAAACCAAGAACCAAACGCCGCAATACAAGCCCCGGAGATCGGGGCAGTCAGGATCTGGTGGAAGCGTGGGAGCTCTCTGCTGCAACCAAAGCCGACTTCCTGCGTTTTTTGAGGGCCGGGGGCGGACGCGGTTCTGCTGCAGAGGCCAGGGGGGAGAAAAATTCGGGATTTAGGGGTTTGTTATCCGGGCCTTGGGGAATAAGGTCAAGGTTTTCAATGTTTTGGAGGTGTGTTCGGGAACGGGACATAAGACGTTGAATCTTGGCAAGAACCTGCAGCGAGCAATATGGGTTTTGGCGCGCCAAAGCTTTTTGGATGTAGGGTGTAGGGTTTAGGGTTTAGGGTCGAGTTTAAGGCAGCCTTCTGGAGTTTCATGGGTGGTAACCTTATTCAAGGTACTTAAAACCCCTTGTTTTCTAGTACCCATGAACCTCCAAAGTAGGTTTTGGGTTTAGGTTGAAGTTCGGCAGCCGAAGCGGATTTTCATGACGAGGTCCAAGTAAACCCTAAAGGCCCGAAAGGTTACGGCTCACGACCCGGACCTTGCGACTGTCAAGCCCCAAAACCTTGCAAGCTTAAAACCGCAAAACAACCTGCAACCCTAAAACCCTAAAGCCCTAAGCCCTCTAAACCCTGAACCCTAAACCCTAAACCCTCTAATCCCTACACCCTAAACCCGAAACCCTAGACCCTGAACCCTAGACCCTAAACCCTAAACCCGCTGAGCCCCTGAGGAGGCCCAGGCGGATACCTCGGAGCATTGGCAAGAAACGCAGCAAGTTTCCTCAGAGAGCTCCTGGTGGAAGCCTGCGTGGCTTAGACTGAAGGCATGCAGTATTTCATTCTATAGGGTTTGGGGTTTAGGGTTTAGGGTTGAGGGTTGAGGGTTGAGGGTCCCAATTTCGAGAAATTCAAAGAAAGCGCATGGCTCTTGAAAGCAAGGAAGCTAAACTCTAAGCGCGAAGACCCTGGAAGCCTCAAACCCTCCAAGCCCTGAAACCTGGGCCCCTTTGAAGCCCGTAAACCCTAAACGCCATATCCTAACCCTAAACCCTAAACCCTAAACCCTCTAAACCCTAAAACCCTAAACTCCTGAACCCTAACACAAAGGTGGGAAGGAGGATGGCAATGGAGATCTTGGGATGGCTGGTCGGGTTCCACATGGCAGGGTGCGGACGCATGGACGGAAGGGCCTCTCTTACTTGCTTTTTGGTTGGGGGTTTAGGGTTTCGGGTTTAGGGTTTAGGGTTCAGGGTTTAGGGTTAGGGTTTAGGGTTCAGGGTTCAGGGTTTAAGGTTTCGGGTTTAGGATTTAGGGTTTAGGTTTAGGGTTTAGGGTTTAGGGATGTAACTTGTAGGGTTCGAGCCTTTACCTAACCTTTGAACTGTTCGGTGCTTTGGTCGTAATTACCCTTAAGTTTTTTGTTGCAAACCCCATTGCCTAAGCCCTGAGCCCTTGAGCTAAACACTAAATGCCAAACCCTAAACCTTAGCCCTAAACCCCTAAATCCCCTAATCACCTTAAACCTTGAACCAACAAAATCCGAGCTAAACCCTAAACCCTAAACCCTAAACCCTAAACCCTAAACCCTAAACCCTAAACCCTAAACCCTAAACCCTAAACCCTAAACCCTAAACCCTAAACCCTAAACCCTAAACCCTAAACCCTAAACCCTAAACCCTAAACCCTAAACCCTAAACCCTCAACCCTCAACCCTCAACCCTAAACCCTAAACCCTAAACCCTAAACCGAAACCCTAAACCTTAAACCCTAAACCCTAAACCCTAAACCCCTTCTGTGAAGTAAGGATACATGGCAAGAGCGGAGCTCCTGGGCATCCGAGGACTTGGGCGACTCTGAAGAGGCAGTGGTGCGGCCAAGACTTAGGCTTTATGGAATGGTTTAGGGTGTTGGGTTTTCGGGTTTGGGGTTTAGGGTTTAGGGTTTAGATTTATCGCAAAATCTAGCTGTCAGGTTGTTTTTCTCGAAAGTGTCTTTAGGAGTGTTTGTGTGTGTGTGTGGGGGCTTCAGGAATAAAGGATTCTTAGGATTCAGGGCTTAGGGTTCGGTTTGCTTTAGATCCTGAGACTTATGAGTAGAGTATTCTCGGTATCTACTTCGAATCCCCATATAAGGTACTTCAAAACCCCCTGCGCGCATTTTTCCCCTTGAAGCTGCTCACAAGTAAGGTGCTGCGTGGTTGCACCAGGAGAGCCCTAGATGGCTTGGGCTGTCATGAAGGAGGCACCCTGCAATCTGCCATGATCCGAGAGTTCCTGCGGTCAGAAAGCTGGGGTAAGGTCTTGGCCGGGCTAGATCCGGCGCGCTGTCACAGGGCGGAGCAGGATTACCGGTGGCTGATTGAAGAAGTCAAGATATCGGACTTGAAGTACAGCCACGGCAACATCTCCCGAAAGTTCCTGCATGGAGAGCACCAGGGCCTCCCTGTTGAGAGTCTGGCCCAGGACCTGTATTACCGGAGGCTGCAGCCAACAGACGTTGCGGCGCTCGTGGGTGTGAGATGGCAACGCAAGGTCTTTGTGATCTGCGGGAATCGGCGCTGCCATGCCATGAAGCTTTTCGCTGAGTGGTCTGCTTCTTGGCAACACGAGCCGAAGGCACGGGTCATCGTGCACGACTTCCCCAGCCTGTCAGGAATCGAAGACCCAGATGTCCGATTTGCATTTATGCTCAAAGCTACTGGAGCCATGGACACCCTCACTGGCGGCGAATCGGTTCAAGTCGGGCACAGGGGCAAGCGTCGTTAAGGACTCTGCCTGGGGGTGTGCTCGCCCGCGTGAGAAAACCTCCCTCAAGTAGCAAGTCCCTAAACCTTAAACCCTAAACCCGAAACCCTAAACCCTAATTGCCGAATTCCCGGCTAAGAACTAGCAAGTCCATGCTTGCGCTGACCTAAAGTACTTGGGCACGGAGAGGCCAAGTTCAATACCCTGTACTGAAACGTACCCTAAACCCTACGCCGAGGCCCTAAACCCTAAACCCTAAACCCTAATCCCTCAACCCTAATCCGCAAACCCTAAATGCGGTATTCTGACGGTATTCTGTGCTCTCTTTTCCCCATTTCATTCTCACTTATAATTCTACAGCGGTTTTTATAAGGTTTTTGAAGGGCCTTTACAATTATTAGAATTATTACGAAGAAAAACCAATTAGAATGCTAATAAAAAGCGCAGATTTTAATTCAGCTAATTCATGTGCTCTTTCACTTAATTCTCAGAATTCAATGCATTTATTGCAATGATATTTCCTTGCAAATTTATTAATGAAATCTTCTACTGTGAGAATATTGGGGAAAGAATAGCGGTTTTCTAATGCATTTCAATTAGAATTTCGGCACTCACTGCGTTCATCAGAATTATTACTTTATTATTAGTATTAACGGCCCTTATAATAATAACAACAATAATGATAACAATAATAATGATAATAATCGTAATACTAATAATAATAGTAATAATAATAATAATAATCTTCCGGGCCGCTATTACAATTACACCCTAAGCCTTAATCCCTAAACCCTAATCACCCAAAACCCTCAACCCTACTAGAAGGTAAGGCCCTCTTCCGCAGTCCAGGCTTTTTTTTGTAAGAGGAGTACCACGGGCCTTCCAGCCCTCCACCCCAAGGTCCAAGCCGGGTGTAGGGTTTAGGGTTTAGCGTTTAGGTTTTTAGGGTTTAGGGTTGAGGGTTTAGGGTTTAGGGTTTAGGGTGTAGGGTACAATATGTTGATGGAAGTTTACTATGCCCGGGTGTGGTTCGTGTAGCCTTATTTTTCCTGCCGGTCCAGCCTTTGACATCTACAGCTTGCGCTTGGTAGACCATCCCCTCCTCCATCTTCCTTCGGATCTCGGCGCGATGGGCGGCATCTCGCATGTTGAGGCGGCGGAGACGCAGACCCGGGGCACCCGGACGGCATCGATGCTGGAGATTTTGGGCCTCAAGGGCAACTTCAGCCACCTGAACCTGTCGGACCCCTTCAACGTGCACAAGCTGGGCTCCAGCTACGCCACCGAGATCCGTGCAGGCCTGACGACTTTCTTGGCCATGGCCTACATCCTTCCGGTCAACAGCGGCATGCTGAGCCTGGCCGTGCCTGACATGAAGGAGCAGCTCGTGTGCGCCACGGCCCTCTCTGCCTTCTTTGGCTGTTGGTTCATGGGCCTCCTGTCCAACTTCCCCTTCATGCTCGCGCCAGGCATGGGAACCAATGCCTACTTCACCTTCAGCATCGTCTTGGGCCGCGGGCTCCCATGGCAGGCCGCCTTCGCGGCCGTGTTTGTGGCGGGCTGCCTCTTCACCCTCCTCAGCGTCACGGGCCTGCGCACACTGCTCATCCGGCTCTTCCCCGAAGGCATCAAGGAAATCATTGGGGCTGGCGTGGGGCTCTTCCTGACTTTCATCGCCTTCCAGGGTTCCGAGGGCATGGGCATTTCCGTCGCAGATCCCGCCACGCTGGTGAAGTTGGGCTCCTTGAGCTCAGCCTCCTACGACTCGGCGAAGATGTGGATGAGCCTCCTGGTGCTCATCGTCACAGCCACCCTCATGGCTGCCAAGGTTCCTGGTGCCCCCTTGGTCGGCATCGTCTTTGGAACCGTGGTGTGCTGGATCGAGGGCTGGGCGCACGGTGTGGAAGGATCCGTCTTCGGCTACCCCTTCGGCACCGGAGGCGACCGATCCGCCGATGACTTCCACATCTTCGTGCCCACCGGCATTGCCCCATGGCCCACAAGAAAAACATAGAGCAGCCAAGATTCCAGGATCTTCGCCTTCTTGGTGTTTCCCCGTCCTGCTGGTTCTGCACAGGTTCTCCCCGCCTGTTCTGAAGGATCATTCGCATAACAGAGCTTGTCCTTTTGCAGACGCTTGAATCAGGCAAGTCTCCTGGAGTACTTGTTTGTAGAAGCTCGCAAAGCTTTTTGCCCACTCTTCCCAGATTCCTTGAACCTGTAAAGCCTTTGCTAATGTTTGGCTTGAACTCCTAAATCCGAAAAAGCTCCCTAAACCCTAACGCTGGTTTTGTCTGACACCGGCAAACTAGGTCGCCAAGCCTTCCCTTGAGGGTCTCGCCGGTGCGCTTTGGGAAGGCTTTGAGTGGGCCTCTTGGCAGTTGCGACCTCCTGGTGTTTATGTTGAAGTTGGGTACCCCCGGGGTTCGGTTGGTAGTATGTGGGGCACTGGGTAGACCTATGTTGATTTCTGCTAGCAGGAAATACCCAGATAGCGGTTGGCACTATCGTGGAGGGGATTGAGCAGAGTGCCGTTAACGGGCATGTGGAGTGCAAACGCTTCGGCATTGCGCATGAAGAGTTTTCGAAGGGACCACATGGCATACACAAAGCGCGCGCCGTGCGAGCAAAGAAGGCCTTCCATCCGGACACCAGCGCCACGTTTTGGACGGCCGTGGCCACTTTCTGTTGCGTGGATACGCAATCAGCACCGAAAGTGGCGCTAGCTGTCATGTAGCTTGCTGTTGCCAACTTTCCCTGAACCCTAAACCCGAAACCCTAAAGCCGCCTGAACCCTCAACGTCCTCAAGGCTACACGGACCTCCTGGACTCCTCCGGGACATTCTTCGCCGTGGCGAAGGTCGCAGGGCTCACAGACAGCCACGGCAACCTGCCCCTCGCCCGTCAGAACATGGCCTACCTGGCGGATGCGCTGGCCATGCTGGCCGGAAGCTTAAGAGAGCTCAGCGCGTGGCGCGTGGATCAAGTGAAACATGTTGCGGCCACATGGGAAATGCACACAGAATCTCCTCTCGGCCTCAGGTGGGCTCGGTGCTCGGCGTCTCGACCGTCGCCACCTTCGCGGAGTCCACGGCCGGAGTGGCGGACGGCGCCAAGACCGGCCTGGCCTCGCTGGTGACGGGCACCTGCTTCCTGCTGGCCATTCCCTTCTCCCCGGTGGTCTCCGCAGTGCCGGGCCTGCATTTGAGAGCAAGTCATTTGGTGCGCTCCTTGTGCGCGTTCCTCGAGGCCGCGGGATCCGTTCTAGAAGGTGAGGTCATCGAGTCGTGCGTCGTGAGAGGAGACTTTGAAGTTTTTTGAATCTTCCTGTTGCATCAGCCGAGGTCCCTCCGCTGGCCTCCGGGCCCATCCTGTGCCTGCTGGGCGCCATGATGTGCAGCTCCGTGCGGGGCGTGGACTGGGACGACTTGGAGGAGTCCGTGCCGGCCTTTGTGGCCATGATCACCATGCCCTTCACCTTCAGCATCGGCTACGGCATCATCGCCGGCTTGGTCTTGTGGGCCTCCATTCAGGTCCTGCTCGCTCCGCTGAGGCTGTACCGTGGAGAGAGCCCCATGGTTCGGGTTCACATGCTTTGGGCTTCTGCCTTTGTCGAAAGCAAGGATGACAAGCTGGAGAAGGGCAAGGACACCCCCAGCACCATCACCCCGAGCCAGTCCTGCTCCGAGGTCTAAGCCTAAGCAAGCTGCAAGGGCTTCCTTCACTCTCATGGCGCTCCACCGCGTGCTCGCGTGTACAGGCACGTCGCCGCGCTGCTTGTGCCATCTTGTTATGATGCTGTTGCCATCACGTGTACAGGCGCGTCGCGCAGCCCAAGGGGGCTGGGTGACCTCAGCACATGGCCCCGCGGAGCGGGCCAGCTACGGAATTCGACTGCAGTTGCCTTTATGTGTGCACACTGCACGCCTTGGCGACGCCTGCCGCCGCAGAATGGCGAGCGGCAGGTGCGTGCAACAAGTTGCCCATCTTTTCCAGTCGCAGATCCGCAGGCAGCCGAAGTGCGACATGAGCGAAAAAGGGCATCCTGTTCGGACTGATTCTGACAGCCGCGCCGAAGCGTTGTTGGACTCCAAAGCTGTTCGCTGGCTGCTACTGGTAGGAACCCCGTCGTTTTTCAATGATAGCTCCAAGCTCTCCCTCTCCCTTGGCTTTCTTTTACTTCATCACCTCACCGGACCTCGCAGTTGGCACTGAGGCCTCAGTTGCCTTCGCGGGATGATGGTTCAACTTCGCGGTTCTCAGTGGGGTTTAGGGTTTAGGGTTTAGGGTTTAGGTCGGGTACCTCATTCCCTACCGGGGAGTACTGAAATGTATGCTGTTCAGAACTCTATGAGACCCTAGGCCCTAAGCCTAAACCCCGAAGGGCTCCGCGCTGTAAGAGGAAGACCCCGCGGCTCCACCCCAAAGCCCAGGCAGAGGCAGGCAGTTTGCCGTGCTCGGGTGTGGTTCGTCTGGCATAATTTTTCCTGAATGGACAGTACACGTCTTTTCAAGTCAGTCAGTCAGGACTGCTTCGGCAAATCGCAAAGAGTGGCAGAGACGCCCCCACGAAGCCTAAAAAAGATAGGCTCCTAATTCCAACAGTCTCAGCTGTTTTGTCCAGCTGTTTGGACTTAGGACTCAGCATCGTTTCACCCTTTTGCAACCAACAGGCTCAACGTTATATGGTTGCATGGGTTAGTCTGTTGTATGCGTTATGCTGATGTTATCGGCATCGCTCGCGCACACCGCCTGGGAGTTAATCCCAAACAAAGAAGTCCCAAATAGAGGGGTGCAATCTTGGCGATTAGAGGTCGGGGCTCTTCATACACCGTCATACACCTACGGCCCGAGACCTCGGGGGATCCCTTTTTTGGGGCCTTTCGGCACCAAGTATGCAACGTGTACAGGGGATGCGCATGCAATAGAATGGATGCATAGATGCATATGCGTATGCAAAGCACGGCTTTTTCCTACCTCCGCTGCAGCTTGTGGCTCGTGGGGGGTGATTGTCGACGTCGGTGTCGAAACCTGAGTACAAAAGGCGGCGGATTCTCGAAATCCGAGAAGTAACTTAGTGAGCTTGCGCTATGCCTTCAGCATTCCGTCGGCCGTGGCGTTTGAGCACCCGGTTCATACACAAAAGCTGGAACCGGTGCGTTCGAACCTGAAACCTACAAAGTCAAAATTCAAGCCACCTAAGCCCCCTTAACCCCCCCCGTTCCCTAAGCCCTAAGCCCTAAGCCCTAGCCCCCCTTAACCCCCCCCCCTCAAGCCTCAAGCCCCCCATTACCATTCGCCGCGGTTTGGCTCCAAGGCGAGGGACTTGTCTATCGTGCTGGTATGTGGCCACATGCAACGTTTAGGGTTTAGGGTTTAGAGCTTAGGGTTTAGGGTTTAGGGCTTCGGGTTTAGGGCTTAGGCTTTAGGGCTTTCAAGAGCCCCAGTCTTGGGAATGGCCCAAGGGTTTAGGGCTACGGTTTAGACCACAAGCCCACATCTTTAAACCGTAATCAGGTCACGATGGTGGCGCTGATCATTGAGAAGAAGCTAGACACCCAAGGCACGTTTTGGATGTGTGTATGCCCAAACCCTAAACCCTAAACCCTAAACCCTAAACCCTAAACCCTAAACTTTAAGCTTTCAAACCCTAAGCCCTAAACCCTAAACCCTAAACCCTAAGCCCTAGACCCTAAACCCTAACCCCTTTCGTGCTGCACGTGCAGTGGAGGATGGCTAGCTGCGATTTGAACAGCAACATGTTCACCACAGATCACTTCTGCTAGGGTCGTCTGCTTCACATCCTGAAAAATGTACTCGTACTCAGTTTACTTCGATGCATGGACATCAAAACCCAACTACAGGCAGAAATGGTAGTAGGCGTGGAAAGTTTGAACAAATGCTGATAAGAATCGCCGAGCAGCACGAAACCTCGGAAATTAAGGCTGACAAGCAGCCCAGTTGCAAAAGGTCCACAAAAGGATGCCGGGATGTCAGATGTCACCAGAGCTGCAAGCAGCAAGATCCAACAAGCGTAGCTACTCACGCTTGTCCAGAATCCAGCCCTGCACTTGGCAAGAAAGTACTCGGTTTCCGCGACATTCGCTGGAGACAGGCACATAGGCCACCAGGGGCTGTGGGAGACGCCAAGTGTAGTAGTCTTGAGTCTTGAGCCCTGCCCCATTGGTTTGCAAACCGCACGTCCAGGTGGCGAGGTGCTGCGTTTTGCCAGGGGTCAACTGGCTTCGCGGCAGCTGCAGCGGCACGGCGAAGACCCTCAGCCTGAGAAGCCTGACTGGTGACGTTTCTCCGATGTCTCCGAGGACGCCGAGAAAGAAGGCCACCCGAAGTCCAATAAGGAGCCAAGGACTCCGATAAAGTGGGCCAAGTGCGCAATGCTGTGAGGCCTTTGCAGTCGCGAGTCGAAAGGGTTCCTGACGCTGATAGATCTGTAGGGTAAAAATCAGCTCTGCGGCAGTGTCGGCAAGAGACACCGGCCCAGCAAGGCATGTTGCGCGTCACGGTCGTGTGCCAGGAGGGTGCTCTGCTGCGACATCCGGTGTTCGGCGCAGCTTGCATAGGACATGGCCTTGCCGAGCATCCCAGCAAAACCTGAAACCACAGAGAACCCATTGCGTCATGCCTTTTCGAGACGCTCTCTTGGGAAGGCGCAGTGTAGCTGCCCCCTAAGACTATCCTAGGCGAGTTGTCGCATAGACTAGAATCTTTGAATATTTCTTGTCCCATAAGCTAAATTTGTCTAAGCGGAAGCAGAACCAAATGCTGCTGCTCGAGTGCCGAGGGCCTATCAGCTTGCCGTGAAGGCGCTTTTTGCCCAAGTGCCGAGTGGAAGGGTCCATGGCCTGAGAGCTTTCTGCACGTTAAAGTTGCTTCGGCGGGGTCGCTGTCCGTGAGGACAGGAAGAGTCCGTGTATTGAGGCATGATTCCATCAGGATATATCAGCGCTTTGCAGTTGTCAGCAAGAGACTCATTGGCCCTGGAGAGCATATTGTGCATAAAGGTCGTGTGCCAAGTGTAGATGGTGATCCACAGAACAAAATGCTGCTGCTCGAGTGCCGAAGGCCTATCTGCTTGCCGTGAAGGCGCTTTTTGCCCAAGTGCCGAGTGGAACGGTCCATGGCCTGAAAGCTTTCTGCACATTAAAGTTGCTTCGGCGGGGTCGCTGTCCGTCCGTGTATTGAGCTTCGCTCGGAAACCCTAAGCCGTAACCCCTAAACCCTATATAAACCCTAAACTATAAACCCGAAACCCTAAACCCTTAAACTCCCACACGGAGTCAGGGAGCGGGGGGAAGTGAAGTGTCGATCACCGGAGAAGGCCCAGCCTACTGTATTCGGATTTCGCGGACACGGTCCAACATTGGGGGCTTGTAGGGTGCACGTAAACCGCAACACTACGCCCTTATAAACCGTAATGGGCGTGGGGTTGCAGATTCAGATGCGGGCTTAGTTCGGGTTCAGGTAATGTAGGTTTTCAAGAGGCGTTCCACCCAATACCACTCAATTCCTGCAAGAGCCGGTCAGATCTTCAGACCAGTGGAGGTTCACGGCACAGTGCTCAGCCTTTGAGGAAAACCCAGGACGCAAAGTCATCTAGCCAACTAACCCAAAGCAGCATGCTCAAGCAAGCCTCCGGAACCCGCAGGCTCAGAGCTCAGGCAGGATTCCATCAGGATATACGCTTTGCAGCATTGTCAGCAAAGCTCACTGGCCTGGAAGGCATTTAGTGCACAAAGGTCGTGTGCAAAGTGTAGATGGTGATCCACAGAACAGAATGCTGCTGCTCGAGTGCCGAGGGCCTATCAGCTTGTCATGAAGGCGCTTCTCGCTCAAGTGCCGCGTGGAACGGTCCATGGCCTGAGAGCTTTCTGCACGTTAAAATTGTTTCGGCTCGGTGTCTTGTGCTTGCTGTTTGGGGGTCGCTGTCCGTGACAATGGAAAGATTTCGCATTTAGGCAAGGGCCCCGGGAGTTTACAGTCGTTTTGTGTCCTCTGGCGAAGACTCACTGGCTCCGGAAGGCATAGCATGCAAAGCTCGTGCACCAGGCGTACATTGCGAGTCTTCGTGGGCAGAACACCGTGAGACTTGCCAAGCAAGTTGCTGCTGCTCGGCTGCTGAGGGCCTGTTAGCTTGTTGCCAAGGCATGTCTCCGAAGCGGAGAGTACCGTGCAGCATAGTTCTTTCCAAGCATCGGGCTCAATTTATCCTACTGCGCAGCTCCCTGCCCCACCGAAGGTTGTTGATCCCCATGCCAACCTGCCAATCACAACTGAACTAGGCCAGGGCAGCAAAGGAAGGCTCCTTGCGTTGCTGCCGTTGCTTTACGCAGCAGCTCTCTGAAATGGTTTTGGGCAAAATTCCTCAAGTGCAGCATGCCAGCCAGCTACGGAGAGCACCATGCTTCTGCGTCGGCAGATTGAAAGAACTGTCTCAGCAGCTCATTCAGAGGCAGCGATGTTGATGACGAGAATAGAGCGCACTTGCTCAGTCATGAGCCGTGCAGGGACATGAACTGCGCCCGGAGCGCCGTCGACGGAAGAAGTTGCCGCTACGAGTCCGTGACATGCCAGGTACTAGACATTCGGCCCAACGCATGCGGCAAGGTCCGGCAGCAGCGCGCACGGCCACCACGCTGCACCTCGCGTCCGCAGCGACAGCTCCAGTGCGTCCTGGATGTTCAGCTACTTAAGATATCTCCAGATTGCGCGAGCTCGCGAAGTCGAGATCGGTGGCCAGGGCATCGGGTCATCGTCGAGAGAACCAGCAGTCCGAGATAGTCCGAGCCTCTGCTCTTCTGGGCACTTCTTAGACAACCAGAGCAGGACTTGAGGCGTAGCTCAAGCAGACACTTACCTTGCAGTGACCTTGCCTCAGCACCTCCTGCGTTTCTCTGCCAGGCTGGGTCTGAGCCAACGGACGGATGCCTCTTCAGCATGGCATTGCGCTGTGGCGTTGCTGTTTTCGCTTCTCCAGCTCCCGTCGTGGCTGCCTCGTATGGCTGGCTATGGGCTTCCATGCAGGGGCATCCGGCACGGAGTGTCCACACCGGCACGTCACATGATATAGGGCGCAGCCTTGGGCACCAAGGAAGAAGAGTCCGGAATTGGAAGGTTTGCCTGATGTACTGCCTTGTACACCTCGACCAAAAGCCCGAACGTGTGAACCCAAGGTGCAAAAACGCCGCTGAGCGGCGTTTCTATGCTCAATGGGTTGAGTTTCGGTGCTCTAGTTTGCCGCCCAGGCACCTCGCATTGCAGCTACCAACCCGCAGACACAGTGTACACCCGATGACCCATGCTGTGCCAGCTGCTTGCAGGTTATGCTTGCTGCCAATGGGTGATCATCACGACTCTGGCCTTAACCTGACACCCTAAATCCTAAACCAAAACAGCCTGTAAATTGCAGATTCCCCCCAACCCTGTAGGACTCGTCTCGTCTGAGCCGAAGCCGTGAAAAGTCTCCCCGTGACACCTCGGTCAACATCCTTGAACTGATTTTGGTCTTCGTTTCGCGCGAGGGCTTCGTGACCAAAGATCCTGCGAGGTCCTACGTGTCATAAAACAGAAGGGTCGCGCCGGAGCAGAGTGCTCCGATGCTCCAAGCACAACCCACTTCCTACTAAGGCTTCTTGATAGATCTTGAGAAGTTCACACTTGGCAACGATTGGGAATGTTGCCAGGCGCTTTCGGTCCTTATGTTGGAGGGAGGCTTTTCAGGCGTCATCGGTGATCCTGCCTTGAGATCGTTGCATCTCAGCTCCCCGAAGGATCGATGATTGGTCGGGGTTGTCAACTGTGACGCGGACTCGTAGGAACTCGTCTTCCGGGTTTGGCAGTTGGAGTGGGGATGGAGGGTTGAGAGGATAGGGCTAGGCGTTTCTTGCGTCTTCGTGTGGTGCCTTTGCCGATTGGCATGTGCAAGTACCCGTCTTCCTCCATCCTCTCGCGTGCCGTATCCAAATTGCGTTCTTCCAAACGCTTTACAGAGGGGAGGGGCTGGAGGCCTCCACTTCCTTGTTCACGCTGCACTCCAAGGGTCACCGCGGCACGCTGGACACATCTGGACACCTCTGACGGCTTCAAGGAAGGTCCGGTGCATTCCGGTGCTGCGACGGCGGATTCTTTGATATTGCATCTTGGTACCCTGCGTCTGTGAGCACTATGGCCGTGGCCTTTGAGTCCTTGCGGAGCTGTTTCACAGCAGCTTCTCTTGTGCATGTTTGCCCAGCTGCAGGCTCTGAGGGTGTGCGGTGCTGATGTACCATACCAGCTGCCCAGAAGAGGCACTGCCCCGTTCGCATCTCAGCCTAGGAATGGAGATGGTTGCTCGTTCAGCTTCACAGTAAACACGTCTCCAGTAGTATTGCTTCACATGCTTTATTCATTATTTTGCTTCCATTGGGGGTTTTCGGAGGTTTCCAAGAGCATAAGGTTCCGTCGGGAGCCCTTTGCCAGACGCCATAGGCGAAGGCGGGTCTTCCCCCACCTAACAGCCCTGAGCCTTGGAATCTAGAGTGCAGCGCTGCAATCAGTTGTGGCCCCGCGCACGCGCGGGCCAGATCTTCCGGAAGCTCAGCCGCTTTGCTCTCCTTACAGGGCCTGCAGGCCTTCGGACCTTCAGCCTTGCTCCAGTGTGAAATGACGATCATTACCTTCATCGACATGACCAAAAGCCCTCAACGCCCTCAACTGCGCGTCCTGCAACAGGGCCACAGACACTCTGCCAATGACCGCTGCACTCCGACGCTTGCATCTGGCTACATCTCTTGGTGGGCCCAGGCTTAGCCGGCTTAGCCCAGCCGGCGTTCAAGAAGCTGAATTTGTGGAATCTGCCCCTGGATGCATGTGCGGCGTGCTAGCCCTTTGAGTGGCAGAACCTGTAAAGCCTGCTTCTATCCCAGACCCTGCTCTGGCCTACACCGAGGCTTGCGGAGGCCGCGTGTGTTCAGTACCCAGCAGGACGGGCTTCGTTGCACGCGCTGCGCACAGGGCAAGGCCGCCTCACGTCGACCGGGTTTGCCCACGAGCGAGCCGATTTGTCGCGAGCACGTGGTGTGTGCTGCTGCCTGGCTGACTCAGGGTGGCCGGAGCCTGGTGGTCTTGAAATCTGGTATTATTGCAAGCTTGCTTGCGGGCGCGCCGCCTCGGCAGCCCGACCATGAATGTTCAGAGATGTGACTTCTCTCGTGCCAAGAAACTTCAGGGCATCCCCCCAACCTGGGGCCTTGAGGGGAGGGGGGATTCGCGGCAGCTGCAGGACATTTCTGAGAAGCCCCAAAAGGGCGGTCCTGGGGATCCCCCGACACCCTTATTAAGATCCCCAACATCGCCCTCGAGCCGCCCCTCAAACCCCACCCTCCCATCCTACCCTGAGTCCCCACGCCTTCGGGCAGTTTCGCGGAGGTCGCGCAAGGGTTTATAAGGCCCCCCCTGATAGATCGGAGAAGGGAATTGCAGTGTCCATGTCGCACGATAAGAGCAAACCCGATCAGTCCAGGAACTCGGGAATATCCGCTTGGAGCGGGGGGGAGGTGTTCATGCACCCTCATGTCGTAAAGCTGTGCAGGTATTGGCGGATGAGCTTGCCTCACCAGGTCGGCTGCTGGTGTGGTAAGGTTTGAGGCATACGTTAGGACCTGTTAAGGTCAGAGCTTGGGGCTCCAGGCGCCCAGCCCTAGGTAGACTCCCCCACATAGGAGGAGGCCCGGGCCGCCACAACTGCAGCGCCGTGTGCGCGGCCGGGCGCGGACGGTGCACGCAGCGGTCGGGGCTCAGCCCCGGTGCACATGCCACATGCCAATCGTTCAGGTGCGCGCTGGAGCGCGGCAGCTCCTTCGATGCTGACTGCCCTGTGGAGATCCGGCGCCTGGATATCGGCCGTTCAGCCCCCTTCCCCACCTGATCATCTCGCAAGTGATGTTGAATCGCTGCCGCCATGCAGCTCAGCCCAGCCGCTCTGAAGCTCGCAGCGGAGAGCACCGGACAAGGGCGGGGCTGCAAAAGAGCAGATCACATCTCAAGGTGATTCGAGTGTCTTTGCAGCCTGCAGGTCATCTGGGCAAGCTGTATCAGGTGTGCCGTGGAGGCAAGCCCACTCTAGGTCGCTGGACACTGAGACACGCCGTCGACAGCCCCGTCATGGGCCACAAGCCTCTGGCCTGAGCCACAGGATTTCAGGCTTGAAGAGTTCCACGGCCCTCTTGTTTCAACATTCAGCCGCCGCTTTCAGGCAGCCGCTCCAGCGAGGAGTGCGACAGGTGGACGAAGCGCAAAGATCAGCCCAACACAGGATCATGTGCCCTACGGAGACTGGAAGCAACTCCTGGGACGTTTCTTTGCTGGTGCGCTTGCTCAGTGAAAAGAAGCGGGCTTTGAGACATGTACTCAACTTATCAGAGCTCCTCACGACACCAATCTCAGAAATCTGGGTTTCGTCGCTTCGAAAGCTCGACTTGAACCAAATCATGGATGCCCAATCCAAATCCCAAACCAAAGCCCAAACCCGCCCAAACCCCAAATCCAGAGTCAAAAGGCCGAAGCCCATGTCGGAAGCAAAGCTCCTAGGGAGTTGAACGAACGGTAGGTTTGATCTAGCTCACCCTGCAATGTTTCAGATGTCGCCTATAAGGAATTTCGACCCATGCTGGTGTTGGAGAAACTGATACGGTTGGCACGCTGCGGATCGCTGACTGTGGTGCAGTAGAGATGTAGAGTGCTCTGAATCAGCACGCCTTGAGTTTTTGACAACCATCGACCAATTGCCCGTCAGCTGCTGACTCGTTATCAGAGTAAACCCAAACCCTGAACCCTAAACCTTAAACCGTAAACCCCAAACCCCAAACCCCAAACCCTAAACCCTAAACCCTAAACCCTAAACCCTAAACCCATCTAAACCCCAAACCCCAAACCCCAAACCCCAAACCCTACCGAATGCTTCCTCCCGCTGCTTGTTAGATTTTTGGCTCTTGACGCAGGTTGAACTGTTTTTTACACCTGGGTTAGGGCACGCTGAAAGCAAGTTGTGCGAGCATGTTTGACGTTCAGGGTTTAGGGTTTAGCCTTGTGGCAGCAACTTGATCAGACGTGCTGCGCGCCATGCCGGATGCCTCGCAGAAAGACCAAAAAGGCGGCGGCCAAGACAAAGATGATCTTGCGTTGGATGCCTTGTCCGTGCACCTGCCGCAAGCAGTTCTGATGCTCCATTATCTATGGTGGTTTGCGAAAATGAGGGACCCCTAATATAAACCCCCAATAGTAGGATTGCCCGCAATTTCGGAAACTCCCACAAAGGTTGCCGGTGTGCTAGCACAATTTGTGCTTGGGGGTTGTTTGCTGAACAGTTGGTTCAGTCCTTTCACACTAGGAGGGTTCAAAGGTGCTCGTTGAAGTGTGGTGCCCTGCAGTCAAAAATCATCATGGCATTGCTCTGATGCTATTTGTGAATGCAGGTTCAAGGGTGCTTATTGCTTATAAGTAGGGTTCTTAATGTTCTTATTGGGGGTAGGTCTGGTTCTAACCATTTAGGGCGCTTTATCACCCTATTTGTCAGTACCCAAATCAACTTCCGCCCCCTGGTTCTGAGGAGGGAATGAGGGAAGTAAGGGCCCTATATATATATATATATACCCTGTTAGGGATTATATGGCGTCCCTCATTCACTACTGAGAACCAGTCAGTCCAAGATACGAGGTCTACATTGGGATGTTCCCCCTTATACTAACGGTCCTGAATCGGGATTGAACCCTGAACCCTGAACCCTGAACCCTAAACCCTAAACCCTAAACCCCAAACCCTAAACCCTAAACCCTAAACCCTAAACCCCTAAAAACCAACGAGGTCTACAGCATTCGCCTCCTCTGCGGAGACATGGTGGACCGAGCCAGCTCTGGGCACCTGGGCACCCCGTTCGGCTGCGCACCCCTGGCCAATGCTCTGTGGGGGAGCTCCCGCTGCATTGAAGCTTAAGCCCTGCTGTTAAGAACCCTAAACCCTAAACATCTAAACTTCTAAACCCTAAACCCTCAACCCTAAGACCTCAACCCCAAGCCCTAAACCCTAAACTCTACGCCTTAAGCCCTAAACCCAAAAACCCTACAACCCTAAACCCTAAACCCTAATCCCCGTTAAAGGCCCAAACCTCTCTGAGGAGCATCATGAAGTTCTCGCCCAACAAGAGGCGCGTGCCATGATCGCCCCATGTGCTTCCTGGGACTTAGGCCCTTGGGGTTTAGGGTTTAGGGTTTAGGGTTTAGGGTTTAGGGTTTAGGGTTTAGGGTTTAGGGTTTAGGGCTTGAGCCTGGTTTAGGGCTTGGGTTTTTAGACCCTGTATAAAGGGTTTAGGGTTTAGGGTTTAGGGTTGCATGGAATATGGTCCCTAACCTCCTTTTAAGGGTTGTGATGTATGGGCCCTGAATTTGTACAGGGTATATAAGGGCCTTTTCAGGTGTATTTAGGGCTGCGGGCTCAAACCTTAAACCCTAATTAAGCGAGAAACCGAACCCCTAGAACCGTACACCTTAAAAGCCTAAACCCCAAACAAGAATCAACCCTGTAACAACCCCTACAGCCTCAAGCCCTGAACCGCTCAAAACCATACAAAACCCTCTTACACCCTAAGCCCCTGAAACCACATAAAAATTCTACAACAAACCCTTAAAGCCTTGAACACGCCCCTGGAGGTGGCTCAGCCGTGACCGCTTCGTGCTGTCTGTGGGGCACGCGTCTGCCTTGTACTACAGCATGCTCCACCTTGTTGGTCGCCTGGACATAAGCCTTACCTGAAGGCCAATGGTACTTGCAAGCAAGGTTTTGAATAAGGTTGTAACAACAGATACCCTACTTAGAACCCTACTCGTAAGTACCCTGAAACCCTAAACCCCAAACCCTAGGCCCTAAACCCTAAACCCCAAACTCTACTTATAGGTGCCCATCTAAACTTGTTTTTGCTGAGGTTGGGGCAGTACAGGATCCTATGCACCTGTGGAGCAGTGTCACGTGGGGCCGAAACGGGGCAGACCAAGCGCAAACAAATGGTTTTTAGGGTTTAGGGTTTAGGGTTTGGGGTTTAGGGTTTAGGATAACTGTAAGGGGTTGCTATTACTTGGAGGTCATGGGTACTTAGAAGTAGAGCAACTGTGGTGGTATCTCTACTAGGGTACTCTTCACGCTACGCTTCAAGGAAATAGAGATTAAGTTACCCAAGCCTGGTTTAGAGTGCGCATGGTTAAGGAACCCAGCTTGCGACCTTGCGGAATCTTGCCCTCAGGAACGGGCATTGGAGGCCCCTACGAGGTGTGCATGGAGCAGCTGAAGCAGTTCCGCCAAGCGGGCAGTAGCACTCCCGGCCACCCCGAGTTTCGCATGACCAGCGGCGTGGAGGTGCGGGGAGTGGAGCCGACATAGGTGCGAACTAGCATCTGGCTTCTGAGTTCCGATGCACTAAGGACAGAGTTCCCAACATACCCCTTGTTAACCTGCAACTCCCTCAAAGCCCACGCTTTTGTGGTCTCCTTTGGACCATGGACACAGCACCGGCAGCCTGCGCAGTGGTGTTTTGAGTGACTGTACGCAGGCAACCGAGAGCTTTGTACAGAACACAGGTAGCCCCTCAGGTAGCCGACCTTGAGCAGTGCGTTGAAGTAGGTTTCCCTAAGCCCTAAACCCTAAACCCTAAACTCAACCCTAAACCCTAAACCCTGAACCCTAAACCCTACATCCTTAAAGTACGCCCTAGCCCCCAACATCCCCAAACAACCAAGCCTCAAGCCTCAAGCCAAGATGTGTACCAGGAGAACCCCCAGCATGCAACCATAAACCCTAAATGGGGGTTTGCGAAAATAGGGGGGGAACCCTAACATAATCCCCAAAATCGGAGGATTCCCTTGTGATAAGGACCCCAGTAAGGTAAGCCCCTTAAATTTCGTAAACCCCCAAATCTTCGGAACAATAAGAAGGACAACAACAATAAAACTAAAAAAAGTAATAATCGTAATATTCACAGTAAAAAAAGTCTGAACAGACCCGGCAACGATCCAGGTGACGACAGGCCCTCTGGGCCAGGGCTTCGCCAACGCGGTGGGAATGGCGATCTCTGAGGCAGCCATGGTTGTCTTGCTGTAGGGTTTAGGGTTTAGGGTTTAGGGTTTAGGGTTTAGGGTTTAGGGTTTAGGGTTTAGGGAGCGCAGCAAGTAGGTTTTGAGTGGGCTTATCAAGCCGGAAATCCTAAGCCCTAAAACCTTTTGCGAGCTTCCCATAAGCGGGGTTGCGGGCTTTGGGGTGGCAACAACCCTTTGCGCTGAAACCTACGCGGCGGTTCACGGGGGAGCTTGAAGTAGGGCTGTGGCGACAAGTAGCCCAAAGAGGGTAATAAACGGCTTGACCTTCAGTGACCGGGCTCCGCGCTTGGCCCCT